TAAATGGAACATATTGAGTCAAGAGGATATAACGAATAACAAAATAAATAGTTAATACTAGCAAAGCATAGTATGTCGGTAGCAATAGGGCCAGTGAACTGGGCTGGGCGGCATCGGCAGTGCGCGAGTGAAACCCGGCCCGCTCGAGGTCAACGTACTGTTCATTTCGCTGCATCCGTTGCAAATATTCCGACGAGCATTGAGCATCGCGCATCGTTGTTGCCCGCTGCCAGTTGCCTATTGCCACCGACTCGCTGTGAATACGCCACTTTTCATTGCTTGGTCGACTGTTGAAACTAGCCGCTGAGAAATAATGATAGACAACGTCACCATAACCAACTACAACCACTCTACATATAACCTTTTGTACTGAGTCAATTAGATACTTTAATAGTTAATTTTAATTTTATGTATTTCTACGACAATCGAATATTTTGACATATGTGAGAAGTACCATGTATCTGGATATTACTTATTTGCTTAGATATGTAGATGTGTTTTTCAAATGTTTCCATTGTTGTTTTCCTTTGCAATATTTCCATTACAAAAGAACAACAATGACGTCAGCCTTCTAGAATTTAAAAATCATCCTTATTGTTTTATAACTTAGGGGAAATGTCTATTCAAAGGATAACTTGTCAGAATCATCGAGACGTATAAAAACTGTTTATATTTCTTCCTTGCAAATTGACCAAAAACTTTGTAATTTTGAATTTGTTCTTTCTTTTTCGAATGTCATTTCACAATTCTGTAATCTTACTTTAGTGCAATGATCCTAAAGTTATTAAAAACATATAACAATAGCTAATTTATAAATTTTGCGTTAATAGAAATATACTTTTTTCTGCTCACCAAAAATGTAGACGTATCGCGAGGTTTTTGTATTTTTTGCGTGTTCGCTTTCGCCGGCTCTTCATGGCCTTGCTTAACGAAAATCTGTCGAATCGTTTTCGAAACAAGGTGTCATTGCCTTCTAATGTTGCTAAATACGACAATGGTACTTGTAGATAGCCAAATAGAATTGTTATTAAGTGTTTTGAAATGATAAGTTGCTAAGGGAATTAATCCGATTTTAAATAATATCTGTATGTATAATAGTTTATTTATTACAATCTTATTGTATCGTAGTTACATTAACTTTTTTAACTTGGCTTAAATTAATTAATATAATTAATTGCTCATGATCCATGTCTGAAATTGATTGATATTTGAAAATTTACATTAATTTAAATAAAAACGAAACAAATAATTTTAACGTAATCAGTTACTGAATATTTTTTCTTCCTTGTTTAAGATTTTCCTGAGGAAAAAAAACCTTATCTATAGGTTACAATGTCATCTTTTATCTTCCGCATATGGGTACAAAGTAATTAAAAGAAAATATTATAAACGAGGTTCTTATTAGACTTAAATCTTATAAATTAAAAAAAACATCTAGTCTTATAAAATTAGTTCTAACTATAACCATCTAATCTGTAGCTGCAGTTGTACTCATTAGTAGCCACTGTACCTAAGGTAAGGTTTAAATTTCTCAAATGTATGTTGCAATTGTTCGACTACTACTAATTACTGGACATTTAGTTTAGTTTGATTCCTCAAATATTATTCACTTGACGTAGTCCTGATTAAGTGGAGGAAAAGGTCATGATAGCGCCACGGGATTCCGTATTCGTAAGCGGGTAACTGTGGGCGCTTATCGACCGCCGGAATCACCGAATCGCACTTCGCCACTCAACCCTTTCCCGCGCGGCCTTCCACCCTCGCCTCACTTATTCACGACCCACGCTAATGACGCCGCCGCGACGGCCGGCCCGCGCCCAACTGCGTCAACCCGAACAACTTGTCTCACACACTACATATTTTATAATGTACCCTTGTTTATTGCCTTATGAAATGTAAACATGTCTGAAAAAACTCATAAAAACATTGGAAATTTTCATACTTAGTCAGCATTGATGACATCAGATGCGTTCTTCGATCCTGATGACGAAGTTCTTTGGAAGGAGTATGATGAATGCTAATAATAAGTTTACAAGCAACATGTTACTTATGCTGTGTAGAGGTCCATTGTCATTAGATTACCTGTTTGTTTGTAGTCACAAATCTATTTTTATTTCAAAGTGTTTATATGTAAAGTCGTAATTAATTCAAGTGATTGGCATAATTATGGGACATATGTATGTAAAAGCTTTTGGAGAAAATAAATTTAAAGTTTTGTTTAAACGTTGTAATAAAAGTCTGTCGTCGGCTGTGCGATGGTTCACCGCTTTTCGCCCGCGGGAACAGGTTTCGCGACGCGTTCCTGAGCCCGCGGCAGGCAGCTTCACCGAGACTGCGTCTTGTATAGCGAGCATACCTACTTACATAACCGCATCTTATTTTTTATTGACATATTATTTGAGTGATAGCGTCAGTAGTGAACGCGATTTGACGCTTTAAATGTGAAGGAGGAAAAGAAGTGTTTTAGTGTCGACAATCGACATAGGGGGCAGGGGTAAGTCGGGTGTTTAGGGGTGCGGTCGGCGTGGGAGGGGGTTATGTAGTGACGCGATCACGTGTACATTTTGCAGCCCGTATTGATCCCGTCGTCTTTTTCTTGTTGAATTCTACAGCCCTTCGTGATTTCCGCCAATTTGTGTCCCTTGTGAAACTAAGGCACGCTTGAATTTATCCAACAAACATTATCGATCGCAATGACCTTTACACTGGTAATATATCATTAAAATTTAATGGTTATATAGGTGGGACGTATTAAAAAGTGAATCAGCAACAATAGGATTGGGTTCTTTAAACAACCGAATAATTTAGCTCATAATGTGGGACGAAAATAAAACCGCCAGACTTCTTCTGGTCCATTAAAATACCCAGTGTTGGTCGATTACAGCTTGTTAGCTGTTAGGCGTTGTTACACCTAATTACTTATTAACTGAGCAACATAATATAAAGAAGCGCGGTGATATATTAAATTCGTAAAACAAAGTCCTATTGGGGTCGACAGAAGCACCAGCTACTGCTATCCGGTATTTCGTGATAACTTACTAACTCACAAATATGGCGTGGGTGACTTGTGCACCGGATGCAATTTATGATGTATTTTTTGTTTGTGTGCATTATGAACATTTAAACACTTATTGATAGATGATATACAACGTTCCGTAATTCAATCGGAATTCATGCTAAACGAACAATATTGGTTTGCATTTTAACACGTATTAATATTATATTTTGAACTCAAATAAGCTGCGGTGTGGTACTTAACAGATTGCAGCTACTGCCTCCTATGTTTTTATTTTTACCTGCTCATTGATGCTACGTTTTCCCTTTAGTTCGCTCCGGTGCAATAGAAAAGCACGTGGCACTGTATTCGGCAGGTTCATAATAGAAAGATTAAAAATAGCAACTGGAGAGTTTCTAATTTGTGCGTTGCGTTACGAACGCGAGGGAAGATGGATACTGGTGCGCGCTGAATAATGTTATCCGCAGTGTTGTATAATGCAAGCTGGTTCAACTGTGCACCCCCGACAGGCATCAACTGCGCTGCCGCTTTGGGTGCGTGCCATGAACATTATTTTTTCCATTAACTTTATTTGTCTAACAAAATCTGCCGACGTTGTCACGATGTTCTTAGTATATCTTTGTCCACCCAAAACCAGTTTTACCAATATCGTATCTCTTGATAGAAATTGTAAATATTACAGCAGCATATATTTTGAGCGCAAAACGGGAGATATTATATTTTTGAAAGCGGAATGTAAATACATATTTTTTGTGTCATCTGGCCAGTAGCACTTCACGGAAATTGAAACTCGATCATACAAGGTCGAGAGATGAATCGGTATAACCGGTGGATGAAATAGCGACGGACAAATAACATTTTAGTATAACTTTTTCTTAATTCTCACACGTGCATATTTTAATAATATTTTGCCTGATTGATTATTATTGTTAGTTTCATAAACGAACAATTCAGAGACTGACTATTGTTTTCGTACTCTGCGATCATATTAACAGCATCGCTATCCACTGGATGTGCTGTCCTTAATATTGAAATATATAGGTAGGCATGTTCGAAGTGACGTCGATGAGACAAGCACCCTTTCTTTGTTAATTTAATTTATTTGAAGTAGAATTGTAATACTTTTTAAATGTTGTGCTATAGAGTTACGAGGTTAACGTTTTATAATTCGCAAATACTGAAAGGCGATCGGCTTCGACGATTAGTAGAGCGCGCGGCTCACCACAACCTGTGGACGGGCCCGGGGCATGCGGCGCGTGTGCGGCGGGGTGCGGCGACGTCACACAACAGAGGAAAGGAGGCGTGAGAGCGAGCAGAGCCGCGCGCTACGAGATTGTGTTGTGTGCGCGGTGTGCGCGCTCTATTTTGGTCGCGGTGGCACACTCGCTGGTCGCCGGCTAATCGGCACGTCACGTGACGCGCGCCGGAAGGACGCGGGCGGGGGTGAGGACACGCGGGAGACGAGGGGCGGGGGAGGGCGCGGCGGCCCGTCGGAATGCAGTCACCACCGCTCGATGCACGGCTCGGCGATTGATCGTCGAGTTGCTTCGCTACTTAAAATTCTATTATTCTATATTCGAATCCGATCTTCGGTCACTATTGGATCTAGCTAATATCTTTTTCATCTTTTCATCCGTATCTTTGCTACAAATCCAAATTCATTGGGAAATATTTTAAATTAAATATGTAATGTAAACAAATCAGTTTTTTCTATATTTTTATAAGTTGTCTCTAACATCACATGTCCACTACCCAAAATATATATTTACTTCCCTACATAGTCTAATGGAACAGGTGTTATTATAGTAGTTATCTCAGGAGGGATGTTTCTATAGTTACATTACATTTTATTTAAATGTCAGCCGTGTTAGGATGAAATTGTATAGTAGAGGCAGTAATTGCAGCGCGCGGATTGCAGGCGAACGCTCCCCGCGCCGCCACCCCTGCCCCGCTCTCGAACACCGTAAGTAAACAGTCTGGTGTTTATCCGCGTCTCGCTCGCACCGACCGCGTCGCGTCGCGCCTCCGAGGTGCACTCGCCGCTCCTATTATTTTCGTGACGGGTATTGCGCCGAAGCCGATTCCCGCATCCTCGGGTTCGGGCCGAGACGCGAGGTCCGGTCTCGCGGCGGAGGCGGCGGCGGCGGCCGCTCGCATCGCGCGCCACTCTACGCCCGCGCCTCACTGTCGCATCGGTTCGCGCCTAATGAAACGCTCCTCGTCCCGTCAGCGTGCCGCGCCGGTACTGTCGCCTCCGACATTCGGTCGAAATCGAAAATGCGTCAAGTAGTAGCGGCGGCGAGGGGCGCGCGCCGTGGCTGACGATCCCGCGCGGCCCGCTGCTGCTGCACCGCGCGCGCCCGCAGTGCTCGGCTCGGTGGATAGTGCGCGTTGTGTACCGGTGTGCCGATGAGACTCGTGCATGTGGATGGGGTGCGGAGCGGAGTTGGAAGATGCATTTCAAGGAGTCGTTCGCGATGAGCGATCGTCCGAACGAGCGCGGCCGCCGCAACTCCCGCTGCAAGGGTGGGTGTCGCCCGCTGTGCGCTCGCTTATAATGTATCAGCTGTTTCGTCGTTAGGGAAAACATTGCGCGCGCTGTCTTTATGACTACGGTTACGGCCATATGAATACTGTTAACTCGATCTTATGGTGCTTATAAGTGTTGTGTTTATGACATGCAAACCACTTGTTGTTTTTATTCACATGTCTGCTCCTCGCCATGCCATGTTAAAAATTGCGACTAAATTTGTAAATAACTCGGAGTGACATTTTGACTTCATACGTGTTTGTTAAAGTTTCAAGGTCATTTGGCAACTTATACTTTTTATCTTGACGATAATATTAAACAGGATTTTCATTCTCTGTTTTATTGGAGTGTAGTTTACAAGTCAAATGGTATGTGTGCGAATTACCGATCTCAGTTCAACCTAACTCCAATAAGTACAACTGCGGCATGGATAGACATGAAAGTGGCACAACGATAGCGTGCGCGAATAACTTCACACACATACGCACTTATATAGTTTGCTATGTAAATATCCAATTCTTACACACATACTCGTGAGACGTTCGTGTGTGCGTCGTAGGTTCCAACGTAGCTCTGAGTTCCGACGACCAACCGCTGGTAACAATGCGTGAAACTACGCATTTGTCAATATTTTTCTTCAAAGTTTACATTAGCTCGTAATTCGTACTCAGACTGTTCAACTCAGCCGTATTATCTAAACGTTACTTACGTTCCAAATGCTCGAAAGATCATAGACTCTACTTTACAACTTCAAGTTGTAACGCTTTATATAAAGATATCCATACATAAACCCGCATTACATGTACATTGTTACCTGTAACGAAAACATTAACATTAGTCGTTTTAACAAATATATATTTTGATTACCTTAAATCATAGCGTTGTAATCGGGGCTAACGGTTGTCGGGCCTTCGTTTTAAATTTAAAACGATAATGACCAAACCAGTCTAACTGGACTTCATGCATCCATTTAAAGATAATAAAGTTATTACGATTGAATTTTTATTTATCAGTGCAATACCTGAATTTTTATCATATTTACGTAAGTTGCAACGGACAGATGCTGTCTTTGTGACCTGTTATTTAATCACCTATTGATATTACCTAGACCTAGCTAAGTGATCCAGTGTCAAGTTATAAAGTTAGGAATCAAGACTTATACGTAGTACATATGTAAAATGACACTATTGTGACGTTAGGATGTCATTTTTTTTTACCATAAAAGGGGACAAACAATTGTACAATATCTAACTTTTCAAATAAGTTATTTTAGTTGGTTGTAATCCAAATATATAATGGGTAATGTGTTTATATTATTAGAAGTATTAGGTTGCGATACCGGATGGGTTCATGGACACTCTGTAAACAGGTTTACTACTAATCAAGTTATCGATTAACTGCTTCCCCGTCCATTTGTATAAGAGACGCTATAAATAGATATGAAAAAATATGTCACTATGTAAATTTTAGTATCCACGAATCGAAAGTTGCTTAAAATGTTGAGTACATTATATTATTATTTTATAATTTTACTAACTACGTCACACTTATAATAACTAGTATAGTATTACATCGGTCAGTTTGGATAATGTAATAAGTAAATAATATTGAAGAAATATATATCTTTGTGCTATCTCTGCCTGTGATGTATGTGTACACACGAGGAAGGGAAATTTTGCACAATAAAATCTTCATACAGTTTTCTCTGCGTGGTGATTTTTAGATCGCAATACTATTTATGTTATAATAAAAGTCAAGAAATGTGGCCTATTATTTCTTTTGACATATCGTAATGTGGTCATCGATCTTAAAATCTATTATATCTTTACGTGTAACTTAGGCAATTGGCTCCCAAATAAGATTCGATTCGTCTAATTTTGGATTTGATTTGGAAGATCGTAATAGAATCATTAACACTTTCTTATATGTTTTTTAATTATGCTAGCTGTCGCCCGCGACTCCGTCCGCGTGGATATATAAGAAAACTTAATTAGTGTAGCCTATGTGTTCTTTCAGACTATACGTATGCCAAATTTAATCGAGATCCGTTCAGCCGTTCTAGAGATATCTTCAAACACCCATCCATCCACCTACATCACATCCATCTAAACATTTGCATTTATAATATTAGTAAGTTAAATAAAAAGCAGCTCTTTAAGGCATAAATTCGAAAAAAATGAATAAATTGTATCCTATGTCCGTCTCCTGGCTCTAAACTACCTCTTCGCCAATTTTCAGCCATATCGGTATAGCCGTTCTTGTTTTATAAATAGTGTAACTAACACTACTTTCTTTTAATGTATAAGATTTATTCCATAAATATTTCACGTAAACATTAAATATACACTATTTATAGTGTAATAAATTAAAGGATAATGCAAAAATGTTTACAGAATTATTCTTCTTCTTCTTCTTCTAGTGCCTCTTCAGTCTTGAAGGTTGGCCGCTAACTTCGAATATTTGGTTACAGAATTATTAAGATCTATTATCTGTACTACCTTAACGTCAATTGACAAGGTTCTGTTTGTAATTTTTTGTGTTGACCTGTTTTGGGCACGATCCGTTGATGATACAAAGTTTTGACTACCTGAATTTATACAAATGGTACTGTTGAGTACGTATTATTATTATCGATTATAATGTAGACATTGGTTGTAATGATGGGACAACATGAAAGAAAGAGAACAACGGTGTGTCAAGATTTCCTTTCTCATGGATTATTGTCGTGTATTGTGCCCCCAAATTTTTATAAATAAATAAATAAAAAGTTAAATCTAGAATACGTTCTACCGTTGACAACGTGACCCCTCTTCATGTATCAAGTTGCAATAGTCGTAATAATTTCACCAAAGTTGGGATATAAAATACGAGGTTTTCGCACAGTCGTCAATGTGATTCAGGCACAAGTTCAAGCGGTCCGTATCGATCCATTGGCTTGTTGTCGGTCTTAAAACGGTCACGGCTCTTATATTACTGATTACTTTGCAGCACAATGAACAAAATATATTGTCTCCTTTTTGGAAAAATTATTATAATATAAAATAAACTGATTAATATTTTTAAAATGCCTCTATTCTAAATTAATCTGATTAGGTTTTGTAACATGTAGAGGAAATAGTATTTCGTGAAATGTGAGGTGAAGAGTTAAGATTGAAATACTCATAATCGTTTTTATGAAATAAATTTTAGAAACGTTCAATAGGAAGATTAAAAATGATCTATTTGGTCGTGACCTTGACGTAATGTTTTGACCGACACGTTATTAATTTAAATATTTCTGACTCATAATGGCAATATCGCTGAATTGATACAAATAATTAACTGAGACATAAAATATATGATAAATATGGTGTAAATATAAAAGCCGTCTTGTAAACGCCATGACAGGCAAGAGACGTCCAAGTAGTTTTAGATACAATCAGAAAACCTTTGTTTATGCGCATGAAAATGAAAATATGATAATGCGG